TAAGTCCAGTGTTGTTTTTCAGTCACAGTGGTAAATWTGTTCTGAGGATCAGAAGTGTCACATTTTGCCTTTAGAACACTTTCCCAGTTGTGTTCTTGTACCAGTTTCATGAAGAGCTGTGGTTTGTTAGATGGCAAACAGTTCAGAGAGAAACTATACATTATGCAGCTTAATTGTCACTTTCTCTTTTCTGATTCAACGGCGTCCCTGACATATGCTCACCAGACAAAAATTCATACCCTTTATAATTTTTTTAAAAAAAGCTCAGAAATTGTACAATTTTTATTGGCCACACATTGCATCACAGTGAAAGCACAAGATTTATATCACAACCTATCACACATATATCACATTAGGGCTGAATGATAGCAGAAAATCTTGCGATGGTGATCATTTTTCTAAATCCTGGTGCAATATATCTTCTTTATTTCTTTCCTCCCTTTCTAATCTGTACTTCCTACTCCAGGGCTCTGTAACCTTTACAATCAAAAGAGCCATTTCTGCTCCTTGTCTCACTAATAAAATGTGTCCAGAGACACAAAACAAGCTACAACTGTGATTATCAACTGGTGGTCCGCGGGCCTTTTCAAGGCCTTTTCAGGAACCTTCACAGTCAGTGGAGGTGACATTATAAAACAAAAAAATATTGCTATTATTATAATATTATTTATAATTATACACATCAGGACAAATAAAAAGACCATATTCATGTAAACAAGAAAAATACTGTATATTGTTTATATCGAATTTCATAAAAATTATTACAACTGAATTATTCAGGCATTTTTTCCCTTCTAATTCTTATTATGTAGTCTTCAAATCCTTTGAAGGTAATTCTGATGGATTTGAGAAAAATAAGTTGTATTATTTAAGTAAACAACAGGCTAGCATGAGCTAACATGTTTTACTTTTTATGAGTAGTATTGATCACATAATTACATACAAATTGATTTTTGTTGTGGGTGTAAAAACAAAAAAACTATTTATTTTGTTATGTTTGGTCAGAATTTTAAACAGCCACATGTGGCCCCAGAGCAGAGGTTGCAGACCCCTGTCCTACTCTATGTGACCTTTAGCATTTTTGGTAATGTCTTTGTGTCTGGTGGTGTGAGGTTTTGCTGCTGTGCGACTCTGTTGGYTCAAGATAAAATWYACACCTTCAAAACTCTTCAAATACATCAGCCAACAATTACTGCACTCCAATGTGCAGCCCTATATCACATAAATAAAAGCATAATGCACACGATTAAAAAAACTCGTTAACATATTAACTGATCAGTCTTGCTCAGGTGAATAAAAATATTGGTAAAAAAAATAAGGTGTGGAATGTGTGAACAACTCAAGAGCAACTCTGAGGTGTCACAGATATACCTTTGGTGCTTTAAACAAAAAGTGTAAACTTTTGTCTTTTTTTCATTAAAGCGTTGAGTTTTTGTATACTGATAGAGCCATCAGGCCTTTTTATGGCAYTGAAGCTGCTCCTCACAAATACATGTCAGGATCAAAGAAGTTCATAAAAACTGACTTTAAGTCCTCGGGAAGAATTTAAAAAAAATCTGATTAAAGGAAAAGGTAAACATTTTGCCTCCAAACAACATGTGGAGGAAATGAGGYACCGAGCTTCACCTCATTAACACCAGAAATGATCGGATCAATCCTGAGACTTCAGGCTAATGGTTATTTTTCTTAAAGTTCTCCAAACAAGTCCAAAGCTTTAGTTTAGTTAGTTTTAATAGACTTCAAAGTAAAACTGTTTTCACCATTAAGGTGAATTGTGACAAGAGAATGGCTGCACTGACTGGTGAAATGTGCAAAAATGTGGAAAATTGGAAAAACTAATAGAAAACGTTCTTTTCTGTGGAGGACAGAAAAAAGGCATTTGGATTTATGTTCCAACGATTATAAGGGGAAAAGGTTACGGAAACATTTGTAAGCACTTTAGAAAGAAAAACATGTTGTGACACGTTTTTGCTTATTTACAGCAAAGTGTGTTTCCAATCTATCCTGCCCTCAGGAGGGAATATTTTAGTTGTCAGCTGATAAAAGTGTTTAATTCCTTTTTTTTACACCCAACATTTATATGCTACAAGAAACACGTCATCCACGAAAAAACTTACTCCGTTTTCTTTCTTTGTGTGTGTGTGTGTGTGTGTGTGCCTGAACGTATAACTATGCTTCTCCTCATTTGTCTCAACAAACAAAAACCCTAAGACTTGGTCAATTATGTCTTTTGCGCCACAGTTTCCTGATATAAGTTTGTTTAAAGGGATCCACGATTAGTTGTAACATTAAACTTTATTTGATAAACAGTTATTTTGACTGTAAAATAAAGACTGTAAAAATACTGTGTGCTGTTTAGATTTTTTAATTTTTTTAAATATATTTTAACATGGACGGAGTCATTTTATTTACACGCAAAGCATTCTGGGTAACTGATGACATCAACTAGGTCATCGTTGCGAGGGTGCTAGCGAGCTATATTCACCCTGAAGGTTAATCTTGGACAATATCTGATGATCGACTCTTTTAAATGAAACCAGAGAGCGTTGACAGAGAGGAGAAGGTAGAAATGACTCAGCCTGTAACTGAAAATATAGATGGAAGACAACAGCACTGTAAAAAATGAAATGTTGTATTTACTT